CACGATGCAGACTAAAATCAATTTTAAAATCAGAAAAACCCATTGCAAATACTGTACTTCATTTTGAAAAATTCAATAAATCACAATTTAAATATTAACAGCTGTTTCATTAAATTTTAAGTCTTACAAAAACAACAGAATTCGGTTACATAAAGGCATCAAATACGGCTAATGAAGTTAAAGTTATATTTCGACATTTTAACTATAAAGTTGAGAGTGTTCCAAAAATAATCACGAGGGTTAAAAATTAATAAGGATTGACCATTTTTTTTACATTTGAATTTTTGAGCGGAGCGAGCGAAGCTCTTATACGTCGACTCTTATGCATTTCGTAATACGCAAACTCCTCCTAGACGGATGAATCAATCGTTTTCAAATTTTGCATGGTGATAGAGACCATATCGGTGAGTGCCAACATCTATATGGCGTTAAAAAAGTCTCTCAGGAATCCGCCCCACTGGGTCTCAAAGTTTTAATGTAATCCTTATGGAAGCAGTATTTGACACATAAACAAAAACATATGATCAGCTGTTGACTTTTGAATGCAGTAGAAAAGAAATAGCTGATAGCATTAATCCACAGATATTAGAACAGAAACGGTATGGATCATAAATATAATCAAATGACGACACTAGCTTGAGGTCCGTGACGTAGGAAGTGGTGAAGGAAGTAGTAAAGGAGAGCAGTCTGGAGTGTGGAAACTGTTTATGACGATTAGATTTAGGTATCTGCGTTCCTAAAATTTTATAGGAAGGGAGGAAAACTGGTCCGCGACGTAGGAAGTGGTAAAGGAAGTAGTCAAGGCGAGCTGTCCAGAGTGTGGGGACTGTTTATAACGATTAGATAAAGGTAATATTAAAGGCATTCCTAAAATTCTATTGGAAGGGAGGAAAAGGGGTCCGCGACGTAGGAATTGGTGAAGGAAATAGTCAAGGCGAGCTGTAGGGAGTGTGGACTGTTTATGACGATTATATTAAGGTATCTGCAATCCTAAAATGCTATTAGAAGGGAAGGAAACAGGTTCGCGACGTAGGAAGTGGTGAAGGAAGTAGTAAAGGCGAGCTGTTCGGGATATGGAATCTGTTTATGACCCTTAGATAAAGGTATTTGCAATCCTAAAATGCTATGGGAAGGGTGGAAAACAGGTCCGCGACGTAGGAAGTGATGAATGAAGTAGTCAAGGCGAGCTGTCCGGAGTGTGAAAACTGTTTATGACGATTAGATTAAGGTACCTGCAATCCTAAAATGCTATGGGAAGGGTGGAAAACAGGTCCGCGACGTAGGAAGTGATGAATGAAGTAGTCAAGGCGAGCTGTCCGGAGTGTGAAAACTGTTTATGGCGATTAGATTAAGGTATTTGCAATCCTAAAATTCTATGGGAAGGGAGGAAAACAGGTCCGTGACGAAGGAAGTGGTGAATGAAGTAGTAAAGGCGAGTTGTCTGGAGTGTTGGATCTGTTTACGACTAATAGATTAAGGTATCTACAAACCTAAAATGCTATGGGAAGGGAGGAAAACAGGTCCGCGACGTATGAAGTGGCGGAGGAAGTAGTCAAGGCGAGCTGTCCGGAGTGTGGAAACTGTTTATGACGATTAGATAAATGTATCTACAAACCTAAAATGTTATGGGAATGGAGGTAAACAGGTCTGTGACGTAGGAAGTGACGAAGGAAGTAGTAAAGGCGAGTTTTTCGGAGTGTGGCAACTGTTTATGACGATTAGTTTAAGGTATCTGTAATCCTAAAATGTTATGGAAAGGGAGGGAAACGGGTCGTGACGTAGGAAGTGGTGAAGGAAGTAGTGAAGGCGAGTTGTCCGGAGTTTGGGAACTGCTTATGACGATTAGATTAAGGTATCTGCAATCCTAAAATGCTATGGAAAGGGAGGGAAACAGGTCCGTGACTTACGAGGTGGTGAAGGAAGCAGTAAATGTGAGCTGTCCGGAGTGAGGGAACTGTTTATGCCGATTAGATTAAGGTATATGCAATCCTAAAATGCTATGGAAAGGGAGGGAATCAGGTCGGTGACGTAGGAAGTTGCAAAGGAAGTAGTAAAGGAAATGTTGTTCAGAGTGTGGGATATGTTTATAACCAATAGATTAAGGTATTTGCAGTCCAATAATGCTAAGGGTAGGGAGGGAAACAGGTCCGAGACGTAGGAAGTGGTGAAGGAAGTAGTCAAGGCGAGCTTTTCGGAGTGTGGGAACTGTTTATGACGATTAGATTAAGGTATCTACAATCTTAAAATTCTATGGGAATAGAGAGAAACAGGCCCGCGACGTAAGAAGAGGTGGAGGAAGTAGTAAGGTGAGCAGTGTGGAGTGTGGGAACTGGGAACCCTTTGTAGCAGTTAGATTAACTTATCTGCAATGCTGAAATGCTATGAGAAGGGATGGAAGCATGCCCACGACATAGAAATTGGTGAAAGAAGTAGTAAAGGCTAGCGGTGTGAAGTGTGGGCAATGTTTGTGGCAATTATATTAACGTATCTAAAATACTAAAATGCTATGGAAAGTGATGGAAACAGGTCCACGATGTAGGAAGTAGCTTAGGAAGTAGTAAAGTATGAGCATAATGTGAGAACCGTCTGTGGCAGTTAGATTAATGTATCTTCAATCCTAAAATGCTAAGAGAAGAGAAGGAAACAGGCCCTACGACGTAGGAAGTGGTGAAGGAAGATTTAAAGGCTGGCAGTGGAGAGTGGGGGAACCGTTTGGGCAGTTAGATAAATGTATCTAATACCATTATATAGTCAATATACCAATATATAGTCAATTCTAATACTTAAATGCTACGAGAAGGGAAGGAAACAGGTCTATGGCGTAGGAAATGGTGAAGGAAGTAGTAAGGCTTGCAGTGCAGAGTCTGGGAACTGCCTTTGGCAATTACATTAATGTATCTGCAATCCTAAAATGCTAAGGACAATAAGACAATAGATAAATTTCTTCCATAGAGGCTAAAAACGATCTTTACTCCCTAAAGAGTAAAAATGCTACTTTAGACCCGCAACGCATGCATTAAAAACGACTGTTTTTACTGCAGTATGACAAAAACAATATAGTATGAACCCCTGGTGACTCCGCTCAATTTTGTGGATGCCTCTGCAAACGCCACCTAGTTATCACCATGTACAAATTACAGGAATAGAAATAACAGAGTTTTGGACATTAAAATAACAAGTGGAATTAATCGCTAAACTATTATGATCAGGATACAAAAAACATGAAAAAACAAATAAAAATAAAAAATAACAAACAAGTTTCCCGATCCCTTAGCTCTATAGTGTGTTTCACCAACTGTGTCACCTGACAGATCCCCCCCCCCCCCCCAAGGAGGCCCTTGACTCTCACACACACACTCACGAGCTTCTGGGTCTGACCTGCCCGGCCGGACAGATGACTCACCACTATGGTATCCAATAAGCAAACCCATAAACAATAAATTTTAATAAATTTAAGGGATATTCTAAATGTTCATTCAATCTAAAAGAAAATTAAACCTTACACGACATGATTGTGATAGTATATGCATACAAACCTAATTAATTCATGATTAAATTTTAAATACCCATTTTATTTTAATAGGCTACTGAAATAAGCACTATGTGGTTATAACTATTGTCACCATCAACCAAACTTTACAAATTAAATGAAGTTATATTGAGATTGAAATGAAAACTGAGATTTAATAATTACAAAGTTTCACCCTTAATTAATTACTCCGCAAGTAATTAATACATTCAATACAGAACTTATGTATTGTAATTTATTTTATTCTAAATATTTTATTTAGCAGTAGTTAAATTTGTACCTGTTATCTTAAACTTAAAACTTCCTTGGTCATTAACGTGAAAATATTTAGTGTGTGACTGGACTCTGGCATGTAATAACTAAGGGTTGTTTGGTTTTTCCTTTTTTTGCACTACACCCCATTGACTTTGAATTATATACAAGTAGAATTTTCATCATATTGTAAAATTTAAAGTATTTTTGTGGGTTTAATGTAGGCGACTTTTTAGAGTTGGTTTTGTTTTACTTCTGGGTTATGTACCACAGGACATGAAATACTTTACAAATAGACTGTTCTATTTAGTTACAATTTTTTTTCATTAAAATATAATTAAATACCCCCACCGCAGCACACCTGCCGACTAAGCGAATTTCCATTTGCCTGAATTGATTTTCAATTAAATATATTTAAATAACATTAAGTTTAACGTGTACCTAGGTTTGCTGCTACAAGGAAACTAATCAAGTGTATTTTTTAGTAAAATATTAATACCTTAGTATAAAATAAATTAATTAGCCAAGTTTAATCAAATTATATCCATAAACAAGCAAACTACAACATTTTACAATATTCTCCATAAGAATAACATGGGAATTTTAAATTTATAGTTTTTTGAATTTTCTCCGTTACCGATAACTGTACAAAAACATTTTGATATACTAAATTATTTGTTTTTTTAAGCTCTTTAAAAGGGTCTAGAGAGAAATTGGGAAATTTTGTGTTTTGAGGGTAAAAAAATAAGAAAAACCAATTTTTACCCCATAAAACCCCCCGTAACACCCCGTTTCCATGGTCCGATCATACTGGTTCCCGAACTCATTCAAGTTTATCCTGCATTACACCTTTAAACCAAATTTCATTAAGATCGGACAAAAATTACTCAAGTTATCGCGTTCACGGACGTATATATATATATATAAATCTATATATATATATATATAAATACATATACATATATAAAAATTTGAACGAATGGTGTTTTTGGCCTCTGGGGACATCAAAATGAAAAAGTAAATCGGTCCTGGGCCTAGGTCTTACCGTGCCACCTACGGTAATAGCTACTTGCCTATAGGGAAATTCGCTAAAATCTAAAATTTGAAAATAAGTTTTAACAGATTTGGAATGGGATTTGCAATTTAAAGTTGTCCCATTTTTATTTTACCATCGATTATTGTAGTAAGCATTTAGTTTATGATAAAAAAAACAAAGCTATTACAGTTTTTAAGTAACACATTTATTCAACAAAATTATTTAATACAGTGTAACAGACAATGGTTCCTTTTTTTAGCAATAAGAAAATATATCAACATCTTTTAACTTGGTTGGTTCTGTTTCGCCACCTCTGTCGCTGATCTGACGGCTTGGACTGATGGACGGAGACGGAGTCGTCTGCAACAACACCACTCACTTATCAAAGTTAAAATTATTTGAAAAAACAAGAATCTACTTTTGCCATACTTAAGCAAAAATGACAGTACAAACTTTCAATAAATTATTGCAGGGTAAACAAAAGCAGTTCTTTTTAGCCCTAGGGTAAAAAATACCCCCGCCGCAGCGAACCTGCAGACTGAGCGAATTTCCATTACCTGGTTGGATTTTCACTTAAATTGTTGCTGCTACAGGGAGGGTAATTAATTGTGTTATTTTAGTACAATATTAATAGCTTAGTATAGAATAAATAAATTTGCCAAGTTTGATCAAACTATATCCAAAACAAGCAAACTACAACAGTTTACTAATATGCCATAAGAATAACATTGGAATTTAAAATGTAATTTTTTTTAAATTTTATCCGAACCAATAATGGTAAAAAACACTTCAATATACTAAATTATTTGTTTTTAAGCTCTTTATGTTGGTTTGTAGATAAATTGGAAAATTTTATGTTTTGAGGGTAAACAATGTGAAAACCCCATTTTTACCACATAAAACCCTGTTCCCATGGTCCGACGATTCTGGTTCACGAACTCATCCAAGTTTATCTCGTCCTACATCTTTAAGCTAAATTTCATCAAAATCGGACAAAAATTACTCTGCTTACAAAAAGTATTTGTAGGCCAAGATGTTTGTAATTTTATTTAAATGTATAACTGCAATTGCTTTTAAAAAGAAATACAAAAACTGACAAATGACTTAGATTAATACTTATAAGCCTATTTATAAATTAGAGGAAACTTTATTAGATCTCATCATACTCAAATTCAAACATTTACAGTATTTTAAAATAATTAACACTCAGAAACTTTTGTGTAATGGAAATCTGCAAGCGACTGAGGCCGAAGGTGAGGGAGGGCATGTTAACCAAGCTTTAGAGCAAAAACTTTCCCTTTTCCTACCCCATGTCCCGTTAGACGGTGGGCAGGGCTTCACACTAATAAACACTCAGTTCATTCATTCACAGTAGAGAAGAGTTTTTGTGGCAGTGATGTAATGTCTCTTGTCTGCTCTTCACTTCATAGATCACACGTAGACTTCTTTCAAAAATTATAATATTAAAATAAGTGAAAAACTGTTGAAATGTTTTTGCAATTAATAATAAACCTTTAACACCAAAATATAAGTTCGATACACATACATATTGTGTTTTTTTTTTTTGTGGTATAACAGTTTTTAACCAGGTTTATTTTTGGTGAATTGAGAAATGCTTTGTTCGTAAAAATGAAGATGGAATATGTCAAATAAAATTGTTGATTTTCTCGTTAACTACTCGACTCCACTCGATACTAGAGTATTAGGTCTAATTACTCGACTCGACTCAAAAAAACACTTCTCGCCCATCCCTAGTGACTATTGTGATCATTTGTTTGATCTGACATATATTTACATGTTTCTTGGGGGTAGTGGTGAAGCCAGGGTCGTGAGGTGGTCACAGGTGTTTGCTTGATCTGTAGAGAATCTAAAGGGCTCAACACCACCTGGTTAACAGAGAACAATACTTGAAAATGTAAACAGAAAGCTTTTGATTTTTTAAATATTACAGTACTAAAAATATCAGCTAATTGAATAAGTTCAAAAAGGTTCTTTATTAAGTCCTATTATAACTTTATTTTCTTGATTTTGTCCTGGTAGTTCAAAAGAAGACAGGGAAAAGAAGGACTGCTCACCATTCGTAAAACTATCTTAAGCCCTTTGAAACCAAGGAATTTTTTCAATTGTCTAAACTTTAATCTGATGATTAGGATGCTCTGTCAATTATACTTTGTTATTCCTGAATACACTGCTTGGCAACTGTGTACACCTAAAAAATACTGTCATGTAGAATGAGTTCAAACAATAATATTATGAAACTACACAGAAAAAGTTATAAGTTTACACATGTTAATATTTCACAAATTAGAAAAAGAGGCTTGAATTAAATACTATAACTTGAGTAGATACCTTTGTAGCAATAGATGTATTAGGTCTAGAATTACTGTTAAGCTTCCCTCCTTTGAATAATGCTGACGCTGAACGTTTGCCTTTGGATTCCGTCATCTGTGAAAAAAGAATTGAAAGCAGTGTATACAATCAAGAGATTTCACGTGGGAAAAGAAGTAGGTACTTTAAAAACTAATACAATTGTAACGAGCCTTTATCCTAGTAGAGTAAGTTTTTGTTGTCTAGCCTCGCGCTGATTGTTGAAGTAAGCAAATGACAGTGGCGAAGCGAGATAGCGCCCTTTGACCCCAGCTTATCAGTTCCAACAAGCATCGGGTATCCTGGAACTTCATGATTGTCTAGGACAGTTTGAGTTGGACATTTGAGTCGTGGACGACGGTTAGTGAGTTGGCGTATTGTGCGAGAATTGCGAGTGGACGATTGTGCGTCGGTAATTAAAAGAACAAGGGAATATTTAATATTTAGTTCCATTCTCATTAAATAGTTCACCGGTACAGCTGAGGAATAAATTTCACTGTTGAGTTTTAACGATGAAGTTAAAGAATTTATATCTAGATCTGAGTTGAAAATAACTGTGTTTCATTATATTATTTTATCATTGTTGTTTACTGTTCCAAATGTTAATTATTTTTAATTTTTTAATAGTTTATATAATTGTTAAAATCCTTTTATTACTGTTACTTTTTTCATTGTTTATCAATAAGTACCTGGGGACCGAGCTTTGCTCGGGGAAAATCATTAGTTAACTCTGAAAGCAGTTTAGTATTGCAGATACATTAATCCACTCCCAAACACCACACTGCTCACCTTTACTACTTCCTTCACCACTCCCTACGTTGTGGACCTGTTTGCCCTCCTTCCCTATACCAATTTAGAATTGCAGATACATAAATGCCAAATACAGTTCCCACACTCTGCACTGCTAGCCTTACTACTTCCTTCACCATTTCCTACGTCATGGACCTGTTTTCCACATTCTCATAGCATTTTAGGATTGTAGATACCTTAATCTAATCCCCATTAAAAGTTCCCACACTCCAGACTGCTCACCTTTACTACTTCCTTCACCACTTCCGACGTCGCGGACCTGTTTCCCTTCCTTCCAACGACATTTTAGGATTGCAGATACCCTAATCTAATCGTCATTGACAGTTCCCACACTCCGGACTGCTTGCCTTTACTACTTCCTTCACCACTTCCTTCGTCGCGGACCTGTTTCCCTCCCTTCCCATAGCATTTTATGATTGTAGATACTTTAATTTAATCGTCATTAATAGTTCTCACACCCCAGACTGCTCACCTTTACTACTTCCTTCACCACATCCTACATCACCGACCTGTTTCCCTACCTTCCCACGGCATTTTAGGTTTGCAGATACCTTAATCTAATCGTCATAAACAGTTCCCACACTCCGGCCTACTTGCCTTTACTACTTCCTTCACCACTTCCTACGTCGCGGACCTGTTTCCCTCCCTTCCCATATCATTTTAGGATTGTAGATACCTTAATCTAATCCCCATTAAAAGTTCCCACACTCCGGACTGCTCACCTTTACTACTTCCTTCACCACTTCCGACGTCGCGGACCTGTTTCCCTTCCTTCCAACGGCATTTTAGGATTGCAGATACCCTAATCTAATCGTCATTAACAGTTCCCACACTCTGGACTGCTTGCCTTTACTACTTCCTTCGTCGCGGACCTGTTTCCCTTCCTTCCAACGGCATTTTAGGATTGCAGATACCCTAATCTAATAGACAATAGACAATAGACAAATAATCTTTATTTACACATTCATTAAGAATAGTAGTAGCGTCAATTTACAATTTTTTCTAAATGTTTGGTTGAGGTGTTGTTTGGTCAAAGATCTGTTGATGGTATTCTTCTAAGGAATAGAAAGGTCGATTAATGAGCCATTGATGCAAAGCTGGTTTGAGGTAATCTTCTGACTTGCTTCTTAGATCTGGAGGTAGCCTGTTGTAGATTTTCATTCCTGCGTATGAAGGTTTCTTTTCAAACTGTGCCGTGCGATGTTGTGGAAGGTTGTACTGCATGGTGTTTCTCAGGTTGTGTTGGTGCATTTCGCCACGCCTTGTAGGGTTATTTCTTACTGCAAATAACACAACTTCCTGGATGTAGAGTGCTACAAGGGTAAGTACTTTGAGTGACCTGAATGCTTCCCTGCAGCTCTAATCGTCATTAATAGTTCTCACACCCCAGACTGCTCACCTTTACTACTTCCTTCACCACTTTCTACGCCGTGGACCTGTTTCCCTCCCTTCCCATAGCATTTTAGGATTGTAGATACCTTAATCTAATCGTCATAAACAGTTCCCACACTCCTGCCTGCTTGCCTTTACTACTTCCTTCACCACTTCCGACGTTGCGGACCTGTTTCCCTTCCTTCCAACGGCATTTTAGGATTGCAGATACCCTAATCTAATCGTCATTAACAGTTCCCACACTCCGGCCTGCTTGCCTTTACTACTTTTTTTCACCACTTCCTACGTCGTGGACCTGTTTCCCTCCTGTCCCATAGCATTTTAGGATTGCAGATAACTTAATCTGATCGTCATAAACAGTTCCCACACTCCGGCCTGCTTGCCTTTACTACTTCCTTCACCACTTCCTACGTCGCGGACCTGTTTCCCTCCCTTCCCATATCATTTTAGGATTGTAGATACCTTAATGTATTCTTCATTAATAGATCCCACACTCCGGCCAGCTTGCCTTGACTACTCCCTTCACCACTTCCTACATCGTGGACCTGTTTCCCTCCTGTCCCATAGCATTTTAGGATTGCAGATAACTTAATCTAATCGTCATAAACAGTTCCCACACTCCGGACAGCACGCCTTGACTACTTCCCTCACCACTTCCTACGTTGTCGACCTGTTTCCCTCCCTTCCCACGGCATTTTAGGTTTGCAGATACCTTAATCTAATCCTTATTAACAGTTCCCACACTCCGGACAGCTCGCCTTTACTACTTCCTTTACAACTTCCTACGTCGTGGACCTGTTTTCCTCCCTTCCCATTGCATTTTAAGATTGCAGATACCTTAATCTAATCGTCATATACAGTTCCCACACTCCGGACTGCTTGCTTTTACTACTTCCTTCACCACTTCCTATGTCGCGGACCTGTTTCCCTACCTTCCCATCACATTTTAGGATTGCAGATACCTTAATCTAATCGTCATAAACAGTTCCCACATTCCACACTGCTAGCCTTTACTACAATCATAGATAAAAAAAGTCCTGCTACTATGTATCGAGTAATCTTCAGTATAATCTTTGCTCAATAGTAACAACTGATGTTTTCCCTTTTGTACTGTATTTTGTAATTGCTAAAATACTGTGGATAGACTACTTACAAGTCTTTTGTTTACTTTTTCCTTGTTATTCAATTCAACCAACATGGTTACTTAGCAACCCATAAGACCATCATCAGCAACCCATGTTAAAAAAATGTGAAAAAAATTCTGTGATTGGTTTGGTATATTATTGAATTCTGTGTCATGGTATAGTTTACTTACAGAAAAACAAGGGAAACAAAAGACTTATTGAATAACAAAACCCCCAGACCCTCCGGTGAGCTGGCACCACCTGATCTTTTAAGTGAAAGGCAGCACCTGTTTAGGGGTCTCAGTCTAGCCCTGCTTGCGTCTCATACACCAACCTTCAGAACTCAAAAGTTAAAAAATTTGTACTCATGTATGTAAGTTTACTCATTAGATAGTTAATAAGGTCCAGAATTTATCATTGGAGCACTCCAAAAGGTAATTCACCCGCAATTATCTTATTGTTACATTTGTGAAAATTCTTTGTTTATTAAACATGAGTTGAACCAACAGAGTTCATGATAGAAAACGATTTTTACCTTGGGAACAATATCCATGGTTTCTATTGGAGGCAGAGTAACATGGCGGGACCATGGGAGTGGGGGTGATGTTTTGAGATTCCTGCGACAGTCAAGCCTGCAACAAGTGTGGTGTGGTGATCAACTTATCAACTCCAACAATGGTTACTACTTCTTGCAGCAATACCTAACAAGGCTTTTTAAACTTATTTATATTTCTAGTTGGACACCGTCATATTTATGTATACATTTTACTGACTGTCTTAATCTCTTCACAAATATTGTAGCAAACATGCAAAAACACATACATTACACATTATCCGAACCCAGTTATCTGAGCCCTCAGATTGTCAGAAGTTGTTTTAGGCCTACATAATATATACTTTTTATTTTTGGTTTGGAAAACAATAATTTTTTTATTAATGTAGGTTTCTGTTTAAAGTAAAGTATAGATAGCAATTAATTTGCAATTTGTTGAAATCAATTCTTGAAATAATTGTTGCAAGTATTATTTTTAACAAGCGAATGTTCAATGTGAATGTGTACCTAATACAATGTTTTGATGTTGATATGATTATGTCAAGTATAGCTCAGGAAGAACTCAAACAATAAGAAATTTTATACTTTTAAAAGTGGATTGATTCGCCCTATTATGTTTTTAATCCTGCAGTGTGTTGCTTTAGAATGATTTTCTATGATAAATTTTTTTTCAAGAAGATTAGTGTACTGTATTTTTTTATGTTACGCTACGGAAAATGTATATTCACACAAATTAATTAACGTAGGATATTTGTTTAGTACTTGAGTAGACCTACATTGTAAGATTAATTTCACAACATAGTTCAGTGCAAAAAATATGCGGTTTCATTATTATTACTACAATTTAAATATAGTACTAATTTTTTAACCACATTACTCTTTCTTAAATTTAACTCGAGCTATGAGGAAAATAGTCTACACTCCTTAAGACCTTAAGACTAACCTTATTCCTGGTTTATGGCTCTGTTTTAGCAGGATGTGAAAAAATATAGGGTTGACCTCAATATAGTTATAGGGGTAGATTATAGGGTTAACCTACAAATATAGGTTAATCAATTATATCTTAATACTTTTCAATGAAAAGGCGACCATACACAGTAGGTATTTTAAGCCAAGTATGAATTGAGATGAGTGTAGGATGAGTGGCACGATCTTGTAGTCTTGTTAGTGACTAAGGCCGACATATTCCTTAGAAATAGCTGTTTATTAATAGTCCATACAGCTAATGGAAACTAAGGGACCTACGGTTTATAGTGGAATCCGAACCACATTTTTGCCTTTGGTATATACAAATTGGTTTAATTATCAGGATAGTACTGCGGATAGTCGTAGTACTCACCCGTGCGGACGTTAATCCACACCAGAGAGTATCGCATCCACAGTGCATGCCTATAAATATCCACAATTTGTGACCTCCTAGTAGATGGATTACAGGACGACGCCACCCGTCCCAGTCAATTATTTAAGTCTCATACATTTCTAGGTGTTTACATAAAGATGAATCACTTAAATGGGATGTACATCTAAATCAATTAAAAAGTAAACTTAGATCCATGTCAATTGTATTTTTTGCACTTAAGGGACTGCGTTCCTAACGAAACTCTGAAAATGGTCTATCATGCTTATGTAGAATCAGTATTGAGGTATGGTATAATCTTATGGGGTCAGGCTACCGGAGTCAAATCAATATTCAGGCTACAAGAACGCATTATCCGTATTATGACCAACTCTCATCAACGTAGTTCATGCAAAAACCTTTTTCGAAATTTAAAAATCCACACTCTAACAGGACTGTACATTTTGGAATCACTAAACTACATTCATTCAGCTAAAAAACGACCTCCCAGAATCAATTCAAATCAACCATAGATATAATTTAAATTTAATTGAGCGGAGCGAGCGAAGCTCTTATACGTCGACTTTTATGCATTTCGTAATACGCAAACTCCTCCTAGACGGCTGAATCAATCGTTTTCAAATTTTGGATGGTGATAAAGACCATATCGGCGAGTGCCAACATCTATATGGCGTTAAAAATAACTCTCAGGAATCCGCCCCACTGGGTCTCAAAGTTTCAATGTAATCCTTATGGAAGCAGTATTTGACACATAAACAAAGACATATGATCAGCTGTTGACTTTTGAATGCAGTAGATAAAGAAATAGCTGATAGCATTATTCCACAGATATTAAAAGGAAGTACTAAAGGTGAGCAGTCTGGAGTGTGGAAACTGTTTATGACGATTAGATTTAGGTATCTGCATTCCAAAAACTATGAGGGAAGGGAGGAAAATGGGTCCGCGACGGCGGAAAATGGCGAAAGAAGTAGTAAAGGCTAGCAGTGCGGAGTGTGGGAAATGTTTGTGGCAATTATATTAATGTATCTAAAATACTAAATTGCTATGGAAAGTGATGAAAACAGGTCAATGATGTAGGAAATGGCTTAGAAAGTAGTAAAGTATGAGCATAGTGTGAAATCCGTCTATGGCAGTTAGATTGATGTATCTTTAATCCAAAAATGCTATGAGAAGGGAAGGAAACAAGTCTATGACGTAGGAAATGGTGAAGGAAGTAGTAAGGCTTGCAGTGCAGAGTGTGGGAACTGTCTTTGGCAATTACATTAATGTATCTGCAATCCTAAAATGCTATGGGAAGAGAGGGAAATAGGTCCAAGACGTAGGGGGTGGTGAAGGAAGTAGTAAAGGTGAGCGTGTTGAGTGTGGGAATGGATTAATGTATCTGCAATGCTAAAACACTATGGGAAGAGACTGTAGACTGTAGGTTAAAATAATTACGAAGCACGAATCGATACATATTTCGATACATGCAATCGTTTATAATAGTAATTTACAATTGAGTTGACAACAGCTCATTCTTACTCCATAGAGGATAAAAACTTTTTTTACTTCCTAAAGAGTAAAAATGCTACTTTAGACCCGCAACGCATGCATTAAAAACGACTGGTATTACTGCAGTATGACCAAAACAATATAATATAAACCCTTGATGACTCCGCTCAATTTTGTGGATGCCTCTGCGAACGCCACCTAGTTTTACTTGAATTTTACATAAACAATGTAAATTACTGTATAATGCTTCAAGACTATATAAATTCGTATTTTATTTTTTGAAAAATTGTAAATTTTGTATATATTGTGGAAATAAAACTGATTTGATTTGATTTGATTCGATAATACTCAAAATGAAAACATTTTTAGATTTTTAAGGCACCATTCAACCCTTTATGAAAAAAGTCCGCTATATGCTGGGCTGAGGCTGTACAATGTGCTGCCTGCAAACTATAAATTGTTAAGTGAAAATAATTTTAAAAATAAAATAAGTGAACTTTTAATTGACAGAGCCTTTCATTTAATTACAGATTGTCATAATACTCCTTTAGTTTAGAATAGTTTTATCATTCAATTTTGTTAATTTACATCATCTTCTTGATTACTATTTTATTTTTTACTAGCTGTAACCCGCGGGCTTTGCCCCGTTTAACTTCTTAATTTTCAAGATGATCTCGTTCGCATGGCTCAATCACGTCCTGGTTGAAGTTCGTTTGCTACGCTCACTCACCTTTAGGTTGGAGCTCGTTCGCTATGCTCACCCGCCTTTAGGTTGGAGCTCGTTCGCTGCGCTCACTTGCCTTCAGGTTAGCTCGTTCGCTACGCTCACTTGCCTTCAGGTTAGCTCGTTCACTACGCTAACTCGCCTCCAGGTTGAAGTTCGTTCGCTATACTCACTCACCTTTTGGTTGCAAATTAGCCGTTGTCATAAATGTAAAAGAAATAATAGTGCTGCACCCTGTTGGTAATCCTTGTAACTTTAATGCTATTGAACATCATAGAACAGAACCAACTTGTTTAATTGAAACAGCTGTTAAGATTCATTTATTCCATTTCTCATAAGGTTAACATGGGAAACTCCAGAGCCACTGGGGCGGAGCCGATTGGACGGATCACGAAATTGATGGTGTATAAATAAACCTATTCCATGAAATTCTACACGTATGTACCAAGTTTCGTGGCAATCGGTTCAGCGGTGTCTGAGTTTATCACTGCCAAATATATATCTATATTTATAAAAGAGGAAGTTTGTGTATATATAAATATATATATCTAATATATAAAATTCTCGTGTCACAGTGTTTGTCTGCAAACTCCTCCGGAACGACTTCACCGATCGTTATGAAATTTGGTGTGTAAATTCTGTAGGTATGCGAATCGGACGTAAACTATTTCCCGTTTCGAAATTCTTAAAAGGGCTCCGCCCCAGTGGCTCTGGAGTTTCCCATGTTAACCTTATGAGAAATGGAATTAATGAATCTTAACAGCTGTTTCAATTAAACAAGTTGGTTCTGTTCTATGATGTTCAATAGCATTAAAGTTACAAGGATTACCAACAGGGTGCAGCACTATTATTTCTTTTACATTTATGACAACAGAATTTGCAACCAAAAGGTGAGTGAGCGTAGCGAACGAACTTCAACCTGGAGGCGAGTTAGCGTAGCGAACGAGCTAACCTGAAGGCAAGTGAGCGCAGCGAACGAGCTCCAACCTAAAGGTGAGTGAGCGTAGCGAACGAGCTCCAACCAAAAGGTGAGTGAGCGTAGCGAACAAACTTCAACCAGGACGTGATTGAGCGATGCGAACGAGATCATCTTGAAAATTAAACATAACGGTACTTTCTTTCCATCGGTCTGTCTTAGGGGAAACCTATAACTTAGGCGATACGAAGTTCGCCGGGTCAGCTAGTATATATATTTGAACGTTATGGACTCTGAAACCGCTTGACAGATTGTAATGAACCTTTCAGGCATTATTAAGCATCTTTCAAGGATGGTTTGTGTGAAGTTTGGCGCAGATCCGTCAAAAGGGCTCCGCCCCAGAGGGTTTTAAGTGGGCCAATGTCCGACTTTTTGAACTACAATGTTTACAAATAAATATGACAGCTGTTACCAGGCAACTGTTTTGTAGGTTTGAATAATCACAACATGCTGTATTAGTTATGATTTTAAATAGTGCCACGATGTTTCTACAGAAAGCAGCACAGAAAACTATTTTACTTTTGGATAAGT